CGCTTCAGGTCCTGCGGGCAGAGACGGGCGGCGCGTTACTCACGGCGGCTCCCAACGCCCCCGGAGCTCCCGCCCGGCCCGGCCTGGCATCCCCCGGCCCCACCCCCGCCACAGACACAGCCACCGCCCGCGTCCCGCCCGCTCCGCGGAGCCGCACTCACGTCGGCCATGGCTGGGCCCGCCCGCTGCTGCCGCCGCCGCCACCTCCGCGGTCCTGCGAGACAAGACGAGAGGCGGCCCCGTCACCGCGGCGCGGCCACCACCTCCCAGGAGGGGAGCGGCCGGAGGGAGGGGAGGGCTCTCCGTCCCCGAGGCCCGGCCGGCCGCCACCCCCCCGTCCCGCCGCCGTGGTACAGCCGCGCCGGGAAGGGCGCTCGGCTGGGCCGAGACCACCGCACACCGGGAGCGGGGGGCGCCCCCTGCCCGGCCCGCCGTACCTGTCGGCGCCCCCGGCGCGCCCCGCACGGCTCCGCCGCCGCCGCTTCCCCTCGGAGCCGCTGTCACATGAGCCGCGGCACCGCCCTCCCGGCCCCGGAACCGCTTCCCCGCCGGCCCCGCCCCGCTGCGCCCCGGCAGCAAAACAAACCAAAACCAAAACGAACCACAGCATTTTCGTTAAAGGAGATCAGCAACCGGCAGCAAACGTGTTTTTATGCCGAGCAGTTACTGCCACTCTTCCACTATTTCCCCTGTGTTGCCTATTTCCCCTGCTTTTGGATCTAGTCCATCAAACCATGCAGCTGCAGACTAATTAAACAGCTAATGTGAAAAAATACATAGCTTAATTTAGTAGATGCCTACAGGGTAACAATGGTAACTACATATCTTTTTTTAAAGTCTTCTATCAGAATGCAGGACCCTCATGGGAGATCTCAAAAAACCTCCAAGCTTGCTCATCATGTATCAATGCTTTTTCTCTAAAAATAAAATAAAATAAAATAAAATAAAATAAAATAAAATAAAATAAGCTACTAAAGGCCAAGCACAGAATCACAGGATAAATTTTGTTGGAAAAGACGTCCCAGATCATCGAGTCTGAACTATGACTGAACACCACCATGTTACCCAGACCATGGCCCTGAGTGCCACATCCAGTCTTTCCTCAAACCCCTCCAGCAACAGTGATTCCATCACCCTACTGGGCAGCCCATTTCAGTAGTAGTCACCTCTTCTGTGAAGAATTTCTTGCTAACATCCAACCTGACTCTCTCCTGGCACAGCTTGAGATAATTTCCTCTCATCCTGTCACTGGCTGCATGCCAGAAGAGTCCGACCCCCACCTGGCTACCCCCTCCTGTCAGGGCACTGCAGAGCAGTCAGGTGGCCCCTGAGCTGCCTCTTCTCCAGGCTAAACACCCCCAGCTCCCTCAGCCACTCCTCACAGGACCTGTGCTCCAGACCCTTCCCCAGCTCCACTGCCCTTCTCTGGACACGCTCCAGCACCTCAATGTCCTTCTTGTGGTGAGGGGCCCAGAACTGGACACAGCTCTTGGGCTGTGGCCTCACCAGTGCCCAGTACAGGGGGACAGTCACTGCTCCTGCTGGCCACACCACTGCTCACACAGGCCACAATGCTCTTGGCCTTCTTGGCCCCCTGGGCACACCCTGGCCCATGTTCAGCTGCTGTCACCAGCACCCTGGGTCCTTTTCCACTGGGCAGCTCCCCAGGCACTCTGTCCCTGCCTGTGGCACTGCCTGGGGCTGCTGTGACCCAAGGGCAGGACTCAGCACTTGGCCTTGTTGAACTCATTCTGCTGGTCTCAGCCCATTGATCCAGCCAGTCCAGATCCCCTGCAGAGACTTCCTGCCCTCCAGCAGATCAACACTGCCACCCAACTTTGTGTCACCTGTGGATTTACTGAGGGTAGCCTCAATTTCCTCATCCAGATGGTCAGTAAAGATACTGAACAGGACTGGGCCCAATACTGAGCCCAGGGGACACCACTAGTGACTAGAGCATTGTGGATACCTGAAGATTTTGCTTAAAATTTTAAAAAGTGTAAATTAAAAAAAAAAAATCACTTCCTAGTGTTTCTGAACTTCCAGTGAAGTTTCCAAAAAGCCTGAAACAGAGATAAGCCACTTTTTGCAAGTAACAGAGGAAAAGGTCATTCAAAAGAACAAATTTATTTGAATACTGAGAATCCATACCTCCTTCTTAATCCAAGCCATGCACACACAGCAATTTGATAAGGACTTGGTCATATTAGAGAGATACTTAAAAGAGAACCCCATAAAATCATCATGTGAGCTTCTGGTAGTATTTTAAAAATGCTACCTGCAACAACCTTTGTCTTCTCATTTATTAAAATATTCCCTACTATACACTAAAAATGTTTAAAAATGCAACTTTTTTTTTTTATTTGCAGCCATGATGCTCAGTGATCAATTTTACTTATTTCCCTGTCACATTTTGAATAAGACCAATTATTGGCCATAGATGCAAAAGAATCTATGAGATGGCCCCTGTATTGCTATTAATGGCAATTTATTCTCCCATCCCAATGACAGTCATTCTGTACATGGAATAAACCAGTACTGAAGGGAGAAGTGTATTCTGCGTGAAGGATAACATCATAACTAAACAGTGCATGTTAATGTTACTTCTAAAAATGTGGAGAAGCCCAATACTCAAACCTAATTCCTGCCAGGCTGAGCAGTATGAGAAGTATAGTTTACAATGGTGTCCTGCTTTCAGCTGGGATAGGGGAGTTGCTTTTCTTCCTAGCAGCTGGTACAGTGCTGTGCTTTGGGTTCAGGATGGGAATAATGTTGGTTACACACTGATACTTTGGCTGCTGCTGAGCAGTGCTGACCCTAAATCCAGGATTTTCAGTCTCCCATGCTCTGGCAGTGAGCAGGTGCACAAGAGGCTGGGAGGGAGCACGGCCAGGCCAGCAAACCTGAATGTGCCAAGGGGATATTCCATCCATGGAGCATCTCATGGTCAGTGTATAAACTGGGGAGGTTGGTCAGGAGCTGCTGAGTGCTCGTCAGGGACAGGCTGGGCACTGGTCAGTGTGGTGAGCAATTGTGTTGGGCATCACTTCTGTTTCTTGGGGTTTATTCCTCTCTCCCTTGCTGTCTCCCTTTTCATTGCTATTGATCACTGATCTCTGATTTTGTTTTGCTGATTAAACCTCTGCCATCTCAGCCCAGAGGTTTTACCTGAGTTTGGTTCTCCTCCTGTTGCTGTGGGGTGGGAGCAGCTGGCTGCATGGTGCTGGGGTCATGGCCAAACCACAACAAATGGCCTTGTTCTTTCCTGTATTTATTACATCATATCTAAGTTAGAGCTTCAGGAATTTATTTAATATTACCTGCTGTAAAAAAAACCAAAATGCTTTTACTATTGCACTTTCCTTCTATTTGACAAAAAGAGCTACAAGAAGTCAGCATAACAACTGCTTAAGGGTGAATGAAATTTATGAACACACAACCTTAAAAAATATTCTTGCCCTCCCATTTTAATCCTTTTACAGCATTTGTTACAAAATTATATTAAAATATTTATTATTTAAAGTTGTCTCTGCTGTCTATTTAAATGCATCTGTTACATTTTTAGTGCTGTAATGTTCTACCATTTCTTGGAAACTTGTAAAAGAAAAAAAGACTGTTTAAAAAAAGGTTAAAAATTCCAATTTAGACTTGTTTTACCCAAACAGAGAACTTGTAGGGAAATGTTCATCAGATGTGAACACTGAACTGCTTGTGACTCAGGATGCTCCATAAATAGAACACATATTGATGGTATATTTCAGCAGATGCAAATCACCTCCTTTTTTCATTAGGCTGTCTCAGAGCCATGCCAAGATATTTTCTCTTTTTGCAAGGCTTTTCTGCCTGCCCTTTTAAAGGATAAAACCAAGAACCCATGTTCATGTTCATGCTATCTTTAGATTAAATGAAAGGTAATGACTAAATAAAAACAGTACGGAGCGGGTAGATAAAATGTTGAGGGATTTTTAGTCAGGCTGTTCAAAACCAGTTTTGTTTTTCCCTTTTCTTTCCAATATCTGATTTTAATGGGAACTTTGCCTTCTGAAGAAAGGTCATCTGAAAAGATTTAAGTACTCCACCCTCTTCAATTTGCATTCTGCTCATGAGAAAATGAATTCTGAACTTTCCAGCAGATTCCCTTAACAAATCCAGGGAAGATATTGACATTTCTGAAGAAAAAAACCCCTTCAGACTTGAGGAAAAAAAGCAACAATCATGAGGAGAAAAACACCCACTTGAAATATTACAAGAATGTTTGCAGGCCATATTTAGAGCAGCTTAATCTTTATGCCACAGGAAATCACAGCATCCTTTTGCACATTACTCAATATTTCAAAGTGTGCAACTATTTAATCTGTTAAATGCTAAGCAGCATACTTCCAGCAGTATAAACATATTATTTCCTTTTCAGAAAGTGCTAATTGCAATAGGTAGTCAAATGAAATGTTGCAGTCGAGGTCTCACCTTAAACCTTCTGGGATGTCTGTGCTGCCATAGGGCACAGCCAGCACATCATTCCAGTTTGCAGCGGAACTGACAGCAATGTCAGCATCCATCCCTTTCCCCACTTCTCACCTGCACCAGAAGTGGCTGCAGGGCAGACACAGCCCATAGGATTATTACAGGCAGCTTTGCTAAGACCATCTGTTCACTCTGACTTCACAGTTCCAATGTTTGATAAATGTGTTATATATCCTTTTTCCTGTTAACTAAAAGATCACTTGCAAACTCAGACTCATTTGTAAACAGGAAGGCCCAAGTACTTGTTAAAGCCTTTGGAACAACTTTCTTCTTTTAAGAAGACACAGGAGTACCAGGATCTACGTTGATAATTTGTTTTCATTAATATAATTACAATACATTCTGGACAGTTACAAAATCTGGGGAATCTGGTTTTCTCCATAGATTTGGATTGCATATTTCAAACATCTGGATGCCTTTCCATTGCATCTGAACCCTTTTACTGCAGTCTTAGCAAGGACATTCAGTACAGCAACCCCTTATTTTTTTTGTTGTTTCAGCAACTTTTAGTTCTGTTTTGTGCCCCAGGCTTTTATGTTCACCTTGAATGCCGGTTTAGCTGCTTAGTTAAAAGCCTGCAGCCAGTCTCATGATACACCAATTCAAGAGAAGACATTTCCACTGGGACAATTTGGAAAAGGGATATATTCAAAACGTTTTCTGGATCACTTGGAGTAATTTAGTTTGTTTGTAAAGTCATACCCTGCTGTAGATCAGAATGAATTGCAATGAAGTCAGACAAAGTATTTAAATTTTCAGTTTAGAAGAAATATTTGGCTCCACATGAACTGATAGCATTGTTCAAAGATAGCAGTTTTGTCAAACAAAATATATTGCCCATAATACAAGCTGTCTGCCATTCTCAAATTCAAGAAACATTCCCCTGCATAACACTGTTAAAATGTAAAAAACATTAGCTACTGAACCTAAAAACATTTTCAACATACTTTGATAAACTTTAAGTACATTGTACTTAGCTGCTTCAGAACACCTCTTTGCATCAGCAGGTGTGGCTACATATAGCTTCCATTTCCAGGCCACTGAGTTACATGATCTTCTATGCAGGAGCCAAACAGTAGGCTTGCTCATTTCTACAAAGTCAGTCCAGCTACATTCTGGTCCCAAAAAAAACATACCCTACCTCTTCTGACAAGTGATAGGGCTCTGACCATAGGAGCACACTGCAAAGCAGCAAAGCATTTAAATAGTTGGCAAAAGGGTTGAAAGGCACATAGCTTGTCCTTAGCAAAATCTCCCTGTTCCACTTGCGGTGCCCATTGAGGAATCAGTATTGGGACCTAGCTTGAAATAAAAAAGTAGTAAGAAAATGGAAGCCTGCCAGGAAAAAAAATTAGGTTGCCTTTTTATTTTAGTTTTAAAATTTTAGTGCTGCATGTTTTCCTCTACCTTTCCAGTGAAAATTAAGGAAGCTATGGATGCATGTTAACCGTACGTATGGACTTACTACTACTGGAATACCAAATGGTAGAGCTGCTGTAAACCGTTGCAAGTACTAAAAGCAATGTTTATAATGGTCTGTACAGCATTTGCAAATATTTACTCTGAAAAGAGATTAGTGTAGTTCTTATTTTTCTCAGCATTGCTTAGAAATGCTAAAAAACTACAACAGCTAAACTGCTACTCTACACCAGATCAATTTACCCCAACAGATATTTAGGAATATATGCCATTATATTTAAAAATACCAAGTTCCTCTAAGTGGTAAACCTAGAAGATTTTACATAGAGTTAGAGATAAAATATTAAAAATTATTGTTTCAACTCCACACACTTGACATCTGAATAGGAGTGATGTAATCATACCATTTATTCCATCAGTGAGACAAAATGTAATATGGAACTAAATTTCTGAGATTTTTAAATAGAAAGTCATTTAACTCATATATACACAAAGAGTTCTTTCCACAGATATTTACATGGCAAATATGTTAGAGGAGAACCACTATGACTAAGTCTCTATAAGTATAGCATCCTTTCTGAGCTATTCTCTCTGCTGAAAGAATTCACAGAAGCTTTGAAGTAAAATCTAAACAATTAAAGTTACCTATATTTCACAGTAGGTAAAGAAGCCGTTAAATGATATTTCAGCATAAGGTTTCTGGAAACAGCTACACAGTAGAGTTTTACATCCACCCTCTTTTCCAGCATCCATGGTGAAACTAAATCTCTTCTCAGTTTCAGGAGAGATAACAGCATAGATAAGATGTGTGTGTAACTGTAGCTCATCCTCCTCGGTAGAGGCTGGTCAGCCGTTCTAGTTCTTTGCAGTTCTCCATGGACATGGACTCTGCTTTCTTTCGGAGCCGGTCGTCTCGATAGACTTTTGCTGCATAAAGTAAGTCTGTTTCTTTAAGGAGAAAAGAGAAAAGATTTTTTTGGTTACAAACTGAATACTTGGCACATGACAGAGCTGTACAAAACACCTCAGGTTGTAACCCTTGCCCTTTTTTCCTTCTCGCTATTCTAACTTCCCTCAGACGCCATTGAAACAGCACTGCTACAGTTTTCCTTTGCTGGATCTTTGTAACATTTCCATCTTTTTGAGCAGGTAAAGCTGTATCAGCCTTCCAGCTCCCTCAGAGTTCATACAGCAGTATCTGATTAACACGAAAAAACCACACCCTACAAAAATCCCCTACTACTTCTGTCACACCTCATTAAACATTACAAATATAGGCCACTCTCAGTGATCCTGCATTGTTATTGATTCCTCTAGCATCTTGTCTGTGCCCCAAAAAATCCAATCTTAATGTTAAGCCCTTTACTTCAGCTGATGCTGATTCAGACTGTCAATGTTCAGAGCTATTAATAATTAAGAGCTCTCTGTATTATACTGGTGCTCAACAGCCTGACATTGCTGAGCATCATAATTCTGTAAAATCTTTTTTGTCACTTCAACTCAAAATGCAAGACATTCTTAAACGTCAATTAACCCCAGATAGATTTTAACTGTCAAAGAGAGTTAACACACAACAGGTGTTTTAAATCCATAAAACCACAAAATCAGCTGTTTCTATAATCAGGATAAAAAGAAAAACCATTAGGAGCCTCTTACTCAAAATCACTTTGGGTAGTTTTCACCACATGATAAATGACAAGTACCAAACAACTGGACTGCAGAGACTAAAGCTGGACAGAAATATGTGATCTGACTCAGAGAACTACATTCTATTTACTTCCAGTCTGTGTAGTGACAGGTCATGAATGAATTATTTTTCCAGTTTTCTATGACTGAAGCTCACCACATGAAAAGTTAAAACCATCTGGTTTCAACACTGATGTAATTTTAGCAGTGCTGTTCCCACAGAGCTCACAGACAACAGAATAACTGGTTAAAATTGATGCTGATTTAGAAAAGGCTGCTGGTGCTCTTCAGTATTCTTATGCTTTAACACTGAATTCTAGGTTTCTGAAAAGAAGTAACTCATTGTATAATATCAGACTGGAGAAACAGATGGCAAACTAAACCCCCTTGTTTTACAGGATGTGCTGCCTGTCCTTGGTTGCCTGGAAAAGCAGTGTTTGTATGTACTGTGGTCCAAGGCACATTAATTTTTCGTCTCTCTGGAAACACCTATGCAAGCTTCTGGTTTATTTATTTACTTGTATAAAAGCACCTAGGGAAATGAGCTATTGCCATGATAAAGTAATGTGGAAGACATGAGAATTCTTAGAAATTGCAGTGAGTTAAGGACAAAAGCTTTGTCATAATCAATTTAGTGTAGTCTTTAATTTTCTGAGAAATGGTCACAGCTAATAAATCAGGTTAAAATTGCTGATAATTTGCAAAGGGTTTTCAGATCACTGACTAAAATTCAAAAACTAAGTAACACTGGGGCAGTTTTAAAGTGAGAAACAGCAGGGGACCTTACACTTACTTTTGCATTGAGATGTTGTAACAATACAAGCACTTCCATCTAGCCTCAGGCTATTTTTATAGTAATGCATGATTTAATGAAATTACACACATTGCCAAACTTACTTTGTTGCCTCTCCTTCCAACAGTTATTACGAATGTTGGATACATAATCTTCTTCCACGCTCTTTTCCACTTTCTGTAATGACACTCCTTTGTATTCATTTCTAAAGTCCTTATTGACATAATAAATGACACCCAAATTTTCTGTCTGCATTTTTATGGTCTGCCCTGTACTTCTGCAAAAAAGGAGGCAGGGGGGAGAGAAAGACTAAATATTAATTTGATTATTGTTTTAACACCACAAGTAGACTTAAAAAAATATTGACATTACAGAATAATAGCAGCACATTCCCAAAATTGCCATTCTGAGACAAATAATTAAAAGAATGGCTCTGTAATCTGCTAGAGAAAAAAATTATTGCACTTACCTAAACATTAAACTTCTGCTGCCAAAACACTTGATCTCAAAAAAAAATCCACTTTACTAAGACACTTATTTCATACCTCTTTAGCCAAATACAAGTTTTAATAATAGAAAATTACATTCAAACTCAACAGAAACAAGTCACTATTCTGTAGCAACCCAGTACAGCATCTCCATTCTGAAGTGTCTGCTGCCAGCCCTGATAAATTCATTTTCCTGCTGGCATTCTGTAGATGCGATGATTAAAAATCAAAGACCGGGTGCAAATATTTTGGCAGAAAAGCTTTTGTAAGCATTACAACAGCTTAGCTGCAGAAGGGAAAAACATCCTACTCCAGAAATAGAGAACTTTGAAAAACAGGAGAAAAGAAACCTCTCTGTTGTTCTTAGTTCTGCAAGGAACTAAGGCCCTTTAAAACCAGTGTGATGAGTGGGCTATTTCTACCAGCTAGCTGCATGCTTGATTCAAGTTACTTATTTCTCAGAAGATAAAAAGGTTTAAATATCCTACTGTATGAAACAGGTAAGTTTTACAAGTAGAATTCTTCACAAGAAAAAGAAGATTTTACCAGCACCTAGAATGAAGCAAAGAACAGACAATCTTCCCAGCCGTCATCATGTTTACCACTTAAATGAAGATGAGAAAGTTGCTTTCAAGTTCTTCACCTTCCACAAACACAGATTACCCCCAAAAGAGTAATGAGCCTTAGAAGATTTCAGGTTTTGATAACTATGTTGGAGATGCAAACACCTTTGCAACGTGCCATGTTGCATGGACCCACTGCCTTGTCCTAGACCTCCTGAACTCCAGGTACTGCTGACCTCTCTTCTCCATTACATTCTCACAGCAAGTTCTTTGCATCTAATTTTTTTTAAAAACAGAACATGTTTTTCTGCTTCATCTACACCTTCCCTCCCTTTCTTCACTGTGGGAAATCAATGATCAACTAAGGGAAGACTCTCCACAATGCTTCTAAGTGGGAGAGGGTGATCACAATACCTTCCCCTCTGCTTTAAGGTGATGTAATTAAGCATTACTTACGATCTTGGGTATAAGGCGTAAGGAGGGTTAGATACCATCAACTGGCTCAACAAGGAGACAAAGATCAACACAATAATAGGCATCAGCTGAATGACCATAGAGAAACCTCCCTACGGAACAAAACAGATTCAGGTATTTCATAAATCATCAGGCAAACAGGTAAATCTGACAATACTTAATGCTAAGTGTGACTTTTTGCTTTAAGCCTCAAAAGCTGCTAGGAAAACAGTAACTGCAAACACTGTGGTATTATCTGAACTTTCAGATGCATACACAATATTCACACAGTGCTCAAGCTGCAGGAGTTCATGGGTTAGCACGTACACACAAGCAACTACCACATAAAAGCTGGATTCAGCTACATTGTATGCCATGATTTGGTCTTATCTATGCAGTGATATGTGATTATACAGGACTAGAGATAATTCATGGAGGTGAATACTGAGCCATAAGTTCAATTCTTACTTCAGCCCAAATAAATTTTTCTATGCATACAAGGATTAGTGGCCACAATTAGAGGCTCATATAGGTTAATAATACCAGTCACCAGTAAGAGAGTGACATACAACATCAGGTTTACAAAACCAGACTATTACCTTCTCAAATTTGCACACCTATTTATCAGTCAGTAAGCAAACCACCCACTGAAGTTTAAAATACCCAACTGGCAGGTACAAATCCTCCTCTACAGTACAGAGCTCCTGTACAATCACAATACTGAAAGCAAATTTTGTAGTTTAAAGCCATTGGTGCTTAAACTTACATCACCCCTCTCTTCCTCCCTCTCGTGCCCACTCTGACGGTGCTGGTTTGGATGGCTGTAGCCAGCACGACCATTAGAAAATGAGTGTACACTACCTGGGGAAGGAACATCCACATTAAAATCATGTACAAAAACACTGTTTAGAGGTCAGTGCAGAAGCAACATAAAGCACTTTACGTTACTGCTCAACAGCACATAAAATGACGTTAAGGTATCTTGAAATTTCAAAGTTGTTTAAAATAAGTATTTTAAGCTGTATGATAGTAACCCCAAAGAACTGACATTTTTGGGATTTAGGAACACTTGAGGGAAAAATAAACTGATGCAGATTGTAGACTTGGGGTTCAAGGCTGGCCGGAATAATTCTACTATTTTATAATTCATAAACTCTAATGCCACTCTGGCAGTACATCTCGATAATTATGCTGATGTATACAAATACCTGTTGGAAAGGCCCCTCCAAAAAACATGTTGAACAGATCCTCTGGAGTAATATCTGCCTCACAACCTCTATGGAAGTTGAATCGGCCATTGCTAGGGTGATTGCAGGTTTGCTCTTCACTGCCTGTAAGGTCATACTGCTTTCGTTTCTCTGGATTACTCAGCACAGCATACGCATTTCCGATTTCTGAAGCGAGGAATAAAACACAACTCCCATAAATGCATGATAAAAGCTATTCCAGCATGAAAATTGCAATTTCAAAGTCAAAAATAGGCAGCAAACGATGCAATTTACTGTATGTTACAAAACAGCTACAGTAGAACAAGGTCCAGAAACATCTCCACTTTTCTTAGAATAGCTTCCACAAAGTTTCCCACCAACGCTATCCAAAAGCCTTTTATCCTGTTAAACAAGGCAGAAGGCAGGAGAGCTTTGTTTCCTTTTCTAGGGGAACACCTACCCTTGTGGAAATGTTCTCTCTCACTGCAGTTACAAAAAAAGCATCAAGCATTACAATGAGACTCTGAAGCTGAGTAACTGCAGTTTGCTCTACCAGCTAGCTTAAAAAACCTTCATGGACTCAGCAGGTTTTCTTTGGTTTCATTCGGTAAAGTGGGCATTTCTTGGAACGCACCAACCTCATTGTCTACAAGAGTGTGAATGTATTTTTCTTCGTGCTTCTGAAGGTATTTGTGGGTTACATGAATAACACAAAGTTCTGCATGATGTAACCTGAGGAGTAGAACATTAATGCATGGCAGGAATGTGCTCCTCGGGCGGTCAGTATGACCTCAGTGTTTGGAAGGCCTGGCCTGGATGCTTGTCCCTGTTTATGCTATGGTATCACAAATGAACAGCTTCCATTTTGGCAGTAGAAAGGAAAAAACCTCACTTAGGTAAGCACAGAAAATATCAGCAAGAAAACCCACACACACTGCTGACTTTAGAAGCTTTTTTCTTGCGGTGCACAGACATAATGATCTTACAGACTGATGGAAAGTTTGTGTTGCCACTTGATGAACAATCTTCACTCAGTCATTTCTTCATTAAACCCCTTCTGCCTTCCTCTCTACTCTCTCCTCCAGGCCTCTCCAACAAAAGAGTTCCTTTGCAGCCAGCCAACCCAAGGCACAGGGATTATGATTTTCAGTGTTGAAAAGCCATCAGTCATCAAAAGTTCGTGAAAGGTGCAACACTATAACCTCAACACAGGCAAATAAGACTGTGGTTTTATAATTAATATTTTAAACATTATCCAATCTAAGCAAAAGTTAATGAGTTTTAGCCACCAGTCTTTTAAGATGCTCTTAGGAAAAAACCTAAGCAATTCCTTTAAGTGAAGGAGAAAACCCAAATAAATGAAGCCTGGTATTTTGAACTGCAGCATGATACAAACTGACATCAAATATTGCTGTGTTGCTCAGTATGAGGATAAAATAGGTAGTAAAAATTTAGATTATCCCAAGACTTAAAAATGAACAGAGATAATTCAGGTGACTGCACATAAAGTGAAGTTACCCTACTGTCACAATATGTCTGTTTGTTACTTGCTCTTGATTATCTGGTGCTAATTCACAACAGATTTGATTCCAATATAACTTTCTTTTCAAAAAGGACATAAAAATGAAAAAAAAGTCACTGGTCAAAACTTTCACAGGAAAGATTTTTGATTAAATTGATAAAAGATAGCAGAAGTTATTACATTTGCACATACTTTTTGATTTAAAATTCACTTCAGTAAGACTGCTCAGTATAATAGAAGTGCTAGGTAGGTCAAGATCTAAGTACCTTACCTATCATGAAATGCAATTCTGTTTTATAATGTGACCTTTCCTTAAAATAAAGCATTATTATGAAATAAAAACTATTGTTATAAACTCTTTTTCTCAGATTGATGTCAAAAACTGATCAGATATCTTTAAAGGAAAACTAAACCATAAATTTACTCAGCCATACAAAAGGTTACGATAATTTCAATGCAAGAAAATACCAGTTGTCATGAAATAATTTTTGGGCAATGAGATTCCCCAACAAAATTTTCTGTTCATTTACTCATCTTGTTAAAAACCAGAAAGTGAAATTCAGCTGAAGAAATTAGACTTGTACAAAGTGCTCACATTAAATAAAATATTAAGAAGCTGATTTTTAACATTTTAAAGACGATTTATTTGAAATGCTATTAACAAGGAAGAACTATTTTATTCCCAGGGCCTGAGACAATTTTATAGGAATAGTATCTTTTAGATAAAGACATCACAAGGCTGTAGGAAATGAATCAATAGCAATCAACTTTCCTGCTCTGCTGTATCTACTTTTCATCTGGAATTGTTAATATATCATTATAATTACCTCTTAAAGTCTGTATCAGAAGTCTTGCTCAGGACTTTTTTTTTTCTTTTTTTCCCTCCCCAATTTTAAGTGTTTTATCCGAATGATTTTTTCAAATGTCTGCATGTAAACCTCACACAGGAAAAAAATAAAAAGATGTACCACGATCAGATTGTTTATCCATTATAATTTCTTACAGATTCACATTTTTCTTCATCTGAGATGAAGCTGTAGTTTTCTTTAAAAAGCTCTTCTTCAATAACTCCCCTTGTGTAGGACTAAGCTAGGCAGCCTTAAATAAGGTCAAGTCAGATTGTAAGTTCTACCTAAAAAATGGTCAAAGGCAACTACTATTAAGGCCATGATTGAACTCATTTATGCAGGAAAAGTAGTAAAACTACACATATCCAAGAAATTCTAAGGAAAAGGCAACTTAGTGTGGCACGTGATTCAGAAAAAAACTGCATTTTGCTATCAAGGATTGCTTTCTTTTTTATCTAGCTCAAGTACAGTAAAGATCCAAGACAATAAAATTCAATAACTACATTAAGTCAACAACAGTAAAAAAGTACAATTGGGTTTCACAGATAAAGTATTTCTTCCCTGTACTGAACAATACAGTTAATTTTCTGAAACCAAGCCCTACTGCCAAAGTCCATGTTCTTTATCTTTACTTCTAATATAACAAAGGTCAAATATTTTCTTGAATAAAAATGTCGGTCCAACCACAGCTAAAAATCACATTTACATTTGTAAAAATACAAGCAATCAATGCAGATAAATATGGATTTGGAGGAAGTTTAATGATAAAAGAAATTTAAAGTAAAAATGGTGTTTTACTTTTAAAAGCCTCTGTTGCTCCAGGTGCATGGTTTTTGTCAGGGTGGAATTTCAAAGCAAGTTTTCTATAAGCCTTCTTTAGGTCTTCTTCACCTGCATCCTTTGACACTCCAAGGACTTCGTAATAATTTTTACATTTCTTTATACTGCAAAAGAAAATGATGTAAAATGTTGCAAGCAAAAAGATGTAAAAGTAATGGGTTAACACACAGCTGTGAATGAGGTCATACACTACACTGGTGCATTATATTACATCTTTTGCTTTCAATATAAATTATTTTTAAAATATCCACTCTAGAAACAAAGAATGTCATTTTTTGATAATAAACTCACTATTGAGCTTATTATGTACATTTCTTTTACTTCTACTGTAGAACTACCATGGCTGTAAGAAAGGGTTTCAGTTTGCAACTACTGTAGCATTTTCTCATCCATAATTGCATTAATATTGCTGTTAACAATGCATAAAAAGAAGGTTCCAAATTTACTTTGCACAACTAGCAGGTAGGAAAATGTGTTTTGACTGTAAACAGCAAATGCACTTCAGTATGAAGGATATAAAACAAAGCAAACAACACCTCCCTTTCTCCAAACTAAAGCCAAATCCTACCATCACTCAAGCATTCACTTTTCAGGGAATAAAACATGAGAGAATACTTCTGCTGCTGGGAATGCACCTGGATCTTAACAATCTTTCTGTAAGTGTTTATGTAAATTCAAAGTCACACTATCAGCTCCAGCAATTGCATATTTAGCTTATCTCATATAATCAAGTATAGCATTTTTTAAAACTCAAACCTCAGGAATATTCTTTTTGTAGGCTGTCTAACCCAGACAGGAAAAGCAAAATCTGGAAATGATGTAATGATTTAGTATAGTTCACAATACCCCAGAAGAAAGAAAGACCACTTAGAGGAAAAGTGAGAACATTAATTCTTTGTGGGCAGGAAGAACTGATCAAACCAGTAAATACAGCTTAACAATCAAACCAAGTTACTTGGGTAAAAATTCAGAAAGAAAAGGCTGAATCCCAAACTTGCACTGCAGAAATAAAGCACACTGACATGGAGTGCATGCCAAAAAAAATGGACTGGTCTGAGCAAGAAATAGAAATTACATCCAAAAATACTTTAAAAGCTTCATGTGAGTCTTTCACATGGCTGTAATTGTATCTGCATTCTCTTACATGCACAAATGTCTACATAACTTTGGGTTTAATGTTTCCAAGACTATACACAGGGCAGCCCTGTGTATTGCAAGGGGGCAAGGAAGCCTTTGGCATTCTCATGGAATCCTGTAATTAAGGGAATGTGAGCATCACAAGTACAACCACACCATCATGTGTGGTCCATCCTACTTCACAGATTGATCAAATCAAATTTCATTTGAGGGATCCTGTTTCCTGTGTTCAAATACAGAAGCTTTGACGGAAGCCTCGGTGCAATGCTCACAAGAGCACTGAATTGAATGTATGCAGGCAGCTGCCAACACAAACATCCTGTGAAATAAATATGGCTCATTATATTGAAGTAACATTTAATAAGCTCCAATTAGGAAGCTGATAGAGCTAACTAAAAAGAACACAGTGAATCCATCAAGAAAGGTTGGAAAGAAAATACATTAAATTATACTCGTGAGTACTGGAAACTCTTTTTGGTAATCTGTACAAGCAGAAAGAAGTGTGGTAGTGTACAGATCCCTTAATCCATAGCCTCAATGCTGGGATGATTTATGAACTGTACCAAGAACAGGTAGCTTTATTTAAATGTCTAACAGTATCAAATTAAGCTTTTATTTAATGAAATTGCTATCTCAGCATCCAATCTAAGTTCTCTTCAACAATTGCTTCTGAGATATCTGTTTGTGGGCCAGTCTCTTCAGAACTTTGGTTGATATAAAATTACATAGCAAGCCGTCAATGTTCAGCAAAGTTGTTATTGTTTTAGCATTAAAACTCTGGTGTGAAACATTCATTCTTGTGTTTTTAAGCATTGTGCATCTTGAACAACTCTCTCCTTCAACAGCATATTGTCATTTTTCATGGGGAAGAAAAAAACCACAGAAATCTATTTATTTACAATATACATTCATTTCACAACTCTAGGACGCCAAGAGGAGAAATATGGGAAAAAAAAACCAGTGCAACAGATGCCAACCTGTACTTCTAACTCCCCAAAACCCATTTGAGATTTCCTCCTGTTCACAACCAGTGGATGCTCCACAGTGGATGACCCTCAAAGGAGAAGCAGCAATGGTGGGTATCTATCAGAACATCTAAAGGATTAATGCAATCACTTTCATGCAACAGCTATCCTGAACCTGGCCCACAAATGAGGTATTGTTATTACTGAGAAACATGTTCAGCCAAAGTATAACACATTTCTGTTTTTTTCTTTGCAAGTCTTTCCTAGTGGTAAATGAAAAATTCTACAAACACAAATGTGGAACATGAATATACATACAGAAATTTTGCAGTTTAGCAGGACTTTGGATTAGGCAGATAAAGTTTTAAAGCTAAAAACCATTAAATGATCTTACAAATGCAGAGGGGCCAAAAACCATACCTAAGCCTGGAATTTTCAGCAGTGACCTTATGCTATGAAGCCCTTACCACACTGTGCCATTAGCCAACAGTTTTACACCATTGCTTGGCCACCTCAAGGCAAAAACCACCTGGACTGTAAGCTGCCAGCATCTGGTTAATGCAGTTTCCTCCTGGGAGGGAGTCAGTGACTTTTGCCAGGAGGTTCCTGACAGAGCACAATTCAGGGCAATCATAACAGGGTAACACCTCTGTTTTACCCCTCTCAGCTGAGTTCATGTGAGTTCTGCACCAAAACTTGCACTGGGAATGATGGGACAAGCAAAGATGATTAGAAGGTGCTTTCCAGTTAAACAAAGTTATCAGTGTTTGTGATGTGCTCCCGAGAAGCAAAACTTTCATGCACCACAAACAGAACCTGGAAAGTCAGTTTATCACAGGACAAACTGTGGGGTCACTAGGACTCAGGTCACACATGGCTGTGCAGCCACAAGGCTTCTCTAACACTGCAGGAGCACACAGCCCACCCTCAGATGCCTCAGCACACAGCCTCAGATGCCCCATCCCTCCTCATCCTTTAAGAGATGCTCCAAGTCTTCCTCCCCCAAAACTCCACTCTCCTGAGGAGAAATTTCACTCCGGCTGCTGGAAGCTGTTGGAAGCCATGGCCAACTTGATCCTTGCCCCTCAAAAGATGCAGACATTACTGGACATATTCCTCACCTCTTTACTTTAGCAGACTGACCTCTGACAATCCTCACTCAGCCAAGAAACCCTCACCTGCACCACTGAATTATTCTGTGGACATTTGTCATGGGAAGACAGGTGGCACTTTTCTTTTACTACAGGGCACAAAAATCAGCTAGTAAAGGCAGGGAAAAATTAAGGGTAAAATCAGTGAAGGTCTGGAAAAGCTCCATCACTGATGTTACTGCTGGCTTTCAACTGCACCTGAAACCCCTCCAACACTCTCAGCATTAACAACTTTCTGAATGCTGCATTTCAAATTGTTGTTTGTTTGGTCTTGCTGCCCTTAAGGCACTGCAGTTCCTACTGCTAGTTTTCTTGCATATGTAAACTCCATGCAGACATTTCTTTTTTAAATTCTAATGTACACATCACTTGCTTACAAACTGCCCATTTTGTACTGAACAGGTTATTTTTGTTGTTCTTTATTTTTGGTTTACTTGAAGTTTGTAGTTTTCACTGATACTTTGCTTGGGGTTTTGGCTTTTTTGTGAATTGCTTTTCCTGTACTTTTCATTTCTGGTTGGATCACTTCTGTATCTGAATTACTATCAAATTATTTCTGTTATTTCTCTCCTTGTTGAATTGTCAGTCCCCTGCCAACACCTTGGCACTGTCCTTCTGATTAACAGATTTGCTGGCTGTTCCTGAAATAACACCTGACTTTTACAGAATAGACTTCTCAAACTGCAGGAGAGCAAGTGATGGCCTACATTCATGCCCAATCTGTTGACAGAAGCATCTCATCACCCCTTGCAAAGCTCCACTATCCCAGCTTGCAGCTGACAAGGCACCTGCAGTACAACTGGTCAGCCAGCTGCAAACTGCAGCAGCAACAACTCTGCTGGATGCTGGGCTCCTCTCCATGCTCTCATGGCTGACAGCACAGGGAGCCCTTCAGGTTCTGAAACGCCTCTTCTCACCTGCAGAAACCCAAGGGCTGCCACCACTGGTTCTCCTGTGACTACAAAATTATGTGATCCTAATGCTGTGCTTGTCAGATCACTTTTCAAATCTACAATTCAGATTAGGTCAGCACTGTCAGTTTTTATCAGATTAACAAAACCTATCAGAGATGCTTGCCTTACTGGATCAAATACCTGCAGCAATGCACAATCATGAAATTTGGAGTATGAGGAGGTATTTCAAAGGGTCTTCCAAAGTCTCACAGGAACAGCCCAAAAGACAAATACTTCAACCAGAAGCATGTCAAGGGAGCCACAATCATTTCTCCCTATGGTAATCTGAACTGAGCAGCACAGTGAGCAGCAATGTGAATGTTAGTGACAAAGAATCCAGCAAGAGGAAGCTATACTGACTTCTGATCCTAGAGTTGAGCCGAAAAACACAGTAAAATGCAGACCAAAATCTATACAGGTCAAATTTCCAACTATGCCAGAGAGCCTGATGCAAATGGTATCTTGCAGCTGAGCTGGTAATGTGCCAGTCACAGTTTGGGTGACAAACATGGGCTGAAAGAAGTGCTCTAGATGGGGAAGAGAAGGTCACAGCACTGTCAAGGAACTCAAGCTGGTACCAGCATACCCCTAGTTTTTAAAACAAATGCAGCAGAACTCTCAGACTTCTGGTGCACTGATAGATTCAACAACACATTATTAGGGTGCTTGTCTTACTACCTTCCTCTTGGATGTACCTGATCAGTTTGTTTCTACTGTGTATATCATATGAAATAGTCAAGGCTGTGTTTACATCAGCATACTTTTCTCCAGATTTTATTTAATATTTTATTTTAGTTATGAGCTTTATGACAAAGTCCATCATCTCTTCTCTGCCACTTTTCTGTGACAGGCTCTATGACTATGATTTCCACCTTAATTTATCCATCATTCAACTGGGTATTTCAAAAACTCACGGCAGCTCTACAGCCTAATTAAAGGCATGCCCTGATTTCTCTGCTTTGGTGGTTTGGTTTTTTTTAACACATACTGATTGCTCTTATTAATCCACTTCCAATTAATTATCTTCTTGACACTATGGTAGAAAAGAACCAATATCTCTCTTTTTGCTGGATTTGTGAAAGTGTCAGCAGAATGCTTGGAAAAAGTCAGTCACACAACTTATATTCCTGTTTTGATCCATGAAATGTGTACAGGCAATGTTTTGGTTCACTACATGAATTCAAATCAAGCTACTGATTATTCCTGACCACTACTCAATGGCACTTAATCCTGCCTTGCAAGGTTTCTATAGAACTCATGTTAGTTTGATTTGGTTTTATCTCAAAAATCCAAATACAAAACTTGATTCTTGTGCTTTCTTCCAAGAAGCTGGCACTGGCAAGGCAGGAAAAGCAGTATTCCACCACAGTTTTCACAAGACAACAATGCAAATTTAGCATACTAGTAGTCATGGCAGTTTTCTTTCAGATGTCAAAAAGGCAATATGGAATACATGCTATGGCTTATTCACTAAAAAAAAAAAGAGACCAAAGACGTCAAACACCATGTGCATTTTAAGATAATTTAAAAAGACCCTGTATAAAACATACAACATGAAAATGCCTCATTTTTTTTGTCGTGCATGTGATTCTTACACATTTGTCTTAAGCTGACATTGCTTGTGTAGCTTTCAGTTGCCTAGAGACCTCTAGGGCACTTGCTCTAAGAAGGCATTAAGGCTACTGTGGGTCCTAACATATTTCTGCTGGTCTCCTGTCAATACCTCCCACACGCAGGTCACCTAAAGGTGTTAAGGCAACTTGATCCAGTTCTCGGTGACAAGGTAAGGATCATTAAGATGCACGTACTACAGATGGGATTTTCAAAGCATTTCCACTAAAAAGCAACGAAGTGCTGCGGCATCTCTCAACCTTCAAACTGTCACACTGAAATAGCAAGCACAGCTCCCACAAAGAGCAGCATTACCCAGCACTTATGCAATCAAAGGAAATATGTTACATCTTACGCTTCTCCCTGTTGAGCAGCTTGCAAGCTCACGTAATACTCTACAGAACTGTTATGGTAACTTGCTAGTGATCAGTGTCCCCTGTGTATGTGGAAAAAATGAAGCCAGCACAGAGGTGCTTGTTTGTACTCATAGCTACTCACATTACTAGAGTAACACTGATGAAAATTAATGCAGCTAAATTAGTTACATTGCTCCAAGCATATCCTCACTATGCTTCTTAAATCTGCTGTCACAAACAAATTCAAGATAGCTGTACAATTCCAGGAACTTTAATCAGTGATCCAAGCCAGGGAGCTCAGAGTCAGTCTCCCTGTCTGACAGTTCAGTAAAGCTTAAAACAACAGCATTGGAAATGGCATGGAAGTGTAGCTGAAAGCTTTTCCTATGTCTATATTCAGTTACTGAACCAAGAACTCCTAAAGGGAAGAATATTTGAGGATAATGACCTTTTGAATCATGCACATGCAAACCACTCTGTCCGATGTCCATGCTGAGTGTCAGAATTTATTGAAGTTTGGAGGTTTTGCTACCTTGCTGTCTATAAACTTCTTCCCTTACAGAAAAAAAGACAACAACTGGGCATGAAACACTGCTTAAAACCACCTCTTTTCACACACAATTTCTTTAATCAATTCAAACATCTTAAAACCATTCCACTGCGGTACAGCAGAAGCATATGGTGGTGACAAACTCTATTCTCTAAAGAATACCCTCCCCAGAGGGGCATGTTTCATTTAATTGGAAAAATATGGGGCCTGGCTGAAGCAATATCATATGCTGTCTGTCATGTTTCCAACTAGAAAGCTCATTCTCACTGTGGTTTAAACATGAACTTTCTCTCAGTTATCATCGCTGAATGTGTTATATTTTTCCGTTTAGTTTTAGGCCATTGTTTGTATTTAATTCTGCTCCCATGGGCAAGGCACACATGTTTTTTAATTCTTAACCACAAATTTTTTAAGTGGTTTATGTCACTAAATAATAACAAGACGAACATTTCAAAACTTTCAACATGATCACTGCACAAATCTAAACAAAAAATTCATCTCTCTCTAAAGGTTCATGAAGTGCTGTATTAAAGGATGGCAGCGTTCCCCGAGCAAAGGTGAAGACATTGTTTCAACACATGATTTTAAGTGGTATGTTAAACAAACAAACATGGGTTGTTCTGTATTACAATCGCTTATTTTGCAAAGATCTTGGTAGGTTTTAAAACTCTGTATTCAACATTCAATGTCCTTGAAGCAATGTTGCATCAATATTATTCTCAATGTGCGATTCTTGAATACCCCTAACTCTGGTCCTGATCTCAACAAACTGGATTAAGTTTATATAGCATTTAACAAATCCCTTCAAGAAAGCAATACCCAATACCACAAAAGCCAACCAGAGAAAAAAGCTAGCTCTACAACACCATTTCAGCCAAGACAAAGTAGGCAACATACCTTCTGCTAAGACAAACAGACTGATCTTGCAGGGAGCCTGATGTCGAAGCAGACTGCAGCTCAGAATGGCACGTCACAGGTGAGTGACTATTGGCACCAGACAGCCCTCCCTGCAGCAGCCTTTTGGGAGTATGTGACATGCCTTATTTTGAGCTAAGCCACATTTACAGAGGACTTCTTTCTGGATATTTTGTCTCACACATGTGTGTACGAGCATACATTCTACAATCATTTTAACAAAAACATACAGGCTTATCCAGGCTTTACTTCAGATATATCACAAAAGGTAATAACATTAATTAAGCAGAGATAATGGTCAATGAAAAGCACTAGTAAATAACACCAAGAGGATAATCATGTGAGACCTGCTGCTGTCTACCTGCCTGAATGCAGAGCTTCTGTATCAACACAGAAAAACTACTTCTTTCCTCACTGTTAGCACAGCTGAACAGATTTCTGAAATGCAGGAAGATCTAAGATCGTATCAACAGAAACATACATTTTACAGATGCACACAAACCCCAATCACCCCAAATTTCTGTTATGCACAACATCCAATACACACAAACTAGGAGACAGGGACCTCTTGATTTCCCTTCAAGCTCCCTTGAAAATATGTGGGCTAGGCTTATGTGAAAATACCAGGGTTTGAGCTGTGAAATTTCCTTGCTATATCCATATTTCTTTAGCAGAAACCTGGGCACATATGAAACAATATTTTTCTTGCTCCTACAGCCAGCAAGTATGCAGTAATAACATGACTTAAGACTTAGTTGCCTCAAAAGGGCATTTTTATTGACTTTTGTTTCTTTTCCCACATCCTTTCCTGATGTCACCTCATCTTAATACTATCAAGCTGCACTAGGCAGAGTTTATACTGCAACTCAGATGATGTATTCCAGTGCTTCTCAGACACCTTTACATTTAAACCAAAATAATTTTAACATTTGTCTAAGACCAGCCTGGACAGCAAGATTAGCTTGAAAATAAACTTTAGGAGTGACCATGTATCTTTAGTATAAAAATACTGAATAGAAACACTGCCCTGCAAGTTGTACAACAGAATTTTCATAACTTTTTCCATTTACCATGAGATCTACTCAGTAACTATTTTCAGTATTATTTTTCCATAAAGTAGCCTTAATATTTTGAAGAAAGGAGTAGCATCTTTCTTGCAGAAAGTAACAGCGTCTCACTCAGTGTTTAAAGCCAGCAACACTCCTCCTTCCAGTCAAAGTTCAGTACAAGTAATCCCTCTGAGACAACCTCAAACTTCCTGTGGCTCCTCTAGATGACAGAATTGAAAGGGTAAGTAGACAATACACAGAATGAAAAGCAGTGACATATTTAAGCCATACCTTAGTACTCCTTCCATTTGGTCTTTGTTGTAGCCTTTTCCACTTTCACCTGCAGCAGATGCATTGTTCTCCTTCGTGCTGTTGGGCTTACTTTGATCACTGTTACTGGCTGGTTTTCGGCAGTAAGCGCCTCCCCCAGCAGTGCTTCCATTCTTCATAATAGCTTCCAACAAAACTGTAAAAACAACAATATATCATAGTATCATTACAGGTATTAGTGAAAAAGTCAGGCCTCTCAAGTATCTCAGATGAGAGCACCACATGACAAGACTAGCTGCTACATCCTCCTTCCTTACTGATCACCACTTTGTGTCACAAATTTCATGCCAAAACTATGGAACAGTGTTTCAAAATTAGTAACCAGGCTCCTCCCATCTGTCTCTGCCAAGGTAATGTAACACTGGAGCTAATATGTCCAGGTGCTTCATTTCTAGATGTTTTTTAGAGCCACTGAACCTGTGCCTTGGGGTGAAAACATCTGAACACCTGAATAAGCAACTGCAAATTGAAGAAGAGGAACTAACCTTGCACTCTATATAAAATGCAAATCATTCCACACAGACATCAAGCCCATCTCCAGACATTTCAGTTCCTACAGTACATACCTGTCTGTAACCCGAGTCAGTACTGCCACAAACTGATGTTCTATTCCTTCCAGGCAATATCAGCTGAAATTCAAACCACTGTTAAAATGCCACAACCAGCAAGGACCAGCCAAGTACACCCAACTCAAGACCTGAAACTTGAAAACCAGTGGCTTCTGCTAGTTCTTGAAATCCTCTTTCATTCCATGTTCCAGTACATCTCAAATGTAGCAGTTTTAATACACATTATACACAAAGTCCATTTCTGTATATAAGCCTGTATTTTAGGGGTATCTGTCTTAGCAATGAATCAGAAACAATACCATTCTAACACAAGGGACTGCACAGAAAGTATAATATAGATTAAAGATTATTAAATAGTCCACCTTTCCGGAAAACAGATTCCTTCAGAGCAACATGGCAAACTACATAAGCTAAATTCGCTTCATAAAGAAAATTAGTTACTATCTGCATTAAAAATGCACTAATAAAAACTGCTAAGGAAAAATGTCCCATGCACTGTGAAAGTACAGCACTTTCTTCTAGAAAGCCCATGGGAAGAATCCTTAAGAATTTCCTCCTAAATTAAAATAAAATTCTCCTCTGCTTAGCATAGTCTTTCTTAGAGCAGCAGAAAACTGGGATCCTACACATCATAGCTTGTGTATCACAGGAAGAAAAGAAAGTGAAGCTTTGTTGAAAAGGAGCTTCTTAAAAGTTCCCCAGCATTTAGTTTTACACTCACTTACTAGTGAGTAGCTACACTCAGCCTGAACAAGAAAGTCAGCTGACTTCAGAGCCAGTCCTGCCCTCCGCCTGCCTCAGCCAGACTCATGGACTGATCAGATCAGGCTCTTTACAGCAGATGTAAAGGAAACAATTAAGCTTTAGATGTCTAGTTGTAACTGAGGGGATGCTCTCACTACAAATGAAATCTGGAGACTGAAAACAGGAGAGCTACAGTTGCATTATGGATTATAGCTGAAGGACATATTGAATATTTGCAATACTTTATTCTAATATCCTCTGTTGTGGCATATGAAGTTCTGAGGTAAATGAAGTTGTAACAACTCCAACGAGGTGACCAGGTCTGCAGATTAAGAACTAATCAAGAACAGAGCTTTGAATGAACAGACAGCGCCCTGGGAATGAAGCATTTCAATCCCAATGTGGTCCAAAGAACTGCTACCAGAAAACAAAACAAAAAAAATAATTATCTTTCTATCCAGTGAGTATGACATTTAACAATGGCATTGCACAGAATCCTAATGCACATGTGGCCTTCTTGAAACAATGCTTGCTCCAAGTTTTGCAGTTCCTCCTTTCATATTGGTATTGCTCTAGAAATTTCTCATCCCTGCCCCAACATTTATGCAGCATCTGTGGGAGCAGAAATGGCAGAAATGCAGGCATGGGCCATGGTTTGCATTTTTAACACCCCTTGTTTCTCCACAGCAAGTGTGGCTCTAAGTCTCTTAATGAACAGGTTTGGTTGCAGTATACTTTAAACATCACTATTTTCTAACCCCCTTCTCAGACCTCATAATGGAGCTGCATTGCTGAGAATACAATGCAGGATGCTTAAAAAAATAAAATTCAAATATATCAGTGTGAACTTCTTAAAATAGCAGGACACAGCGTACACAAACATGCTATTGTCCTACACTGAAAAAGAAAACCACACAAAGGGTATGGGGCCATTGTTTCCTTCAAATAGAAGATACAGTTTAGGTATTCAGAAATTACTCTGGCTCTTCCACGAACTGCTGGTGGTAAAACCAGCTGTTAGAATGTAACACTAACACTGCATTTAAGAAAACTTTAACTGTGCATCTAGTATTTTGAAATAGGGCATACAGGGAACCAAAGACTTATTTTGTTAGCAGGTAAGGCAACGAATCTTATCTCTGAGTGTGTCTGAAGCCTCTGTTGTGTGTACTATTACCTGCTGTTGAATGAAAGATCCTTGGACTACATTTGATTCCATTATGCATTGAACATGACCCCCCTCCTCCCCCCACTTTCACTAATGGAAGAATTCCGTTTAATTCAGAATTTGTCCTAATGCAACAGCCTAAAAACTAAATTGACATGCTCCCAAAAAATGTTTGTAAAGGCAGCTTCAGAAATGGGGCAAGAAAATCTTAAGAAGCATTAAAAAATAAAGTTTTCCTTAACAATGTTTTCTGCCTTCAAACAGAATGGCACCTAAGTTTGAAAGGGGCATTTTGTCTTTGTTATCTTTAAATTCACTCTAAAAAAATCTTTTCCAGACAAGCGATTAGATTCTGTTCAGTTGCAAGATGAATCCTTGGCAAAAACCAAAATCAAACAATTTTCTAGCAAAGAATGACGTCAACATGGACACTGCTACTACGAAGTCATTAGCTCAGTATCATTAAATAAGCACTGACCTTACATTTCACACTAGTAAAGCCCTAAAATAGCACTGCTGCAGTCAGCGTATTTCAGGCAGAAGCTTTGTTTAGCAAAACTAAACTTCACTGATGACTGAACTAGTGCTGAATGCCCTTTAAATGTAAATGTTGCCAAAAGCAGATCACACATAGTATTGTTTTAGAGACAATAGTTAAAACCTATTCTCTGCCCTTTTGTAATCCACTACAACATCAGGAGGAGGAAGCTCCCACCAGTAAAAGATTCAGCAGTACCATTCTCATTGCTTTTATGACTGACAACTTTGTTTGTGAAATGGTGGGCAATTGTTCTCAAAACGATACTAAAGGTACAGCATACGAAGAATCTGCAACTTCAGTGAGAAATTAGTTCAACTACCTTCCAACCCACTCCAGAGAAACATAAGTGAGCAGAGAGGCAACTGGGGCTGCACCACGTTGTCCCAGCACCATAAAAACCCAACACATTATGACTGTAAAATGAGAATTTGTGTTAGAACTAAAGGGGTTCACAAAACCTTAACTACTCCTTTCTCTCTGGTATGTGCTATGACACATTTTTGGTTACCTGAATTGTGAATTACAGGTTGGATTTTTTCCTTCATGTTGGCCCCCAACTAAAAGATGCCAATGAGAGCAATTTAATTTGTTCTTAGTGTAAAATGCCAGCTGTAATTTATTGCAGCCTGTCCAGAACCTGTTCTGAAAAAAATACAGTCTGTGTCCCTGCACTTTTAAGAGGGCCACTTAAGTGCCTCAAACTTTAAAACCAAAATAAATTCAATGAGTTGGTGTTGTTTTGGGAGGAAATGAGATGACTTTAAAAGATTCAACAACCTCCACAAATAGAAAACTGAAGCACAGAGATATTAGATGTTTACAGAGTCCCCTAATTTCTAAGTACCTAGTTCAAATCAGGCCTAGGGCCTGAACTTTTTCAGTGGTATTAGGGCATCTGCAATTCTCTTTAGCTTCAGATGGAGCTTTAACTGCCCACCAGTTCCACAAATCAGGCCCTTGTTTCAAGGTGAATACCTGAAAAACCAAGCACAAACAATTAGCTGGTGACTAATGGAAAAGGTGTGAACTGACTTATTTAACATCACAGAGAAATTCTGGGAAGCTTTTCGTTTAAGAAGACACAATTCCCCAGATTACAGCCCACTACCACAAAGCCAAATTCTTTTCCTCAGGTCTGTACCTCATTTGTGATTGACTTGGCTAATTTCCACAGTGACTAAAACAAGTGTCCTACAGACAATAGCCTAATTAGCCATCTATTTCTTGCACTGAATACTTTATCATGGTGGTTATGTAGTGGCAGTCCTACTTAAAAAAAACCAAAAACCAAATGCTCAAAACAAGTCAGATTTTCTTCCTGAAAGCTGCTTTAACTCCTTGAGATATAAGATGATAACAAGCTGTGTGAAGCAGATGAAGCTATTTGCTCTCCTTGGTGAAAGAAGCTGAATTGAAATCCTCTCCTTTCCTGCCTCCTGACTAACACAGATTCCAAAAAGCTCCAAGTATTTTCACGCATGTCATGTTCTCAAAAATTTATGTCATGTTCTCAGAAATTTAGGGGAATATGGCAACATCCATGCTGTCTTGCAGAAAACAAAACACTTGAAAAAATTAAATACTAATTTAAAAAGTGCCAGCAAAGTCTTCATTTATCGTTTGCATAGAAGAAGAAGTCAGGGGATAGGAGGTCCAAAAATGTTCACTGCATCTCCTCACAGCAACTTCCAGTTAAGATCTGGCCTCACACTTCTGCTGCAGAAATGGCAACTGCTGAGGCCTGTAAGTGGTACAGGGCACTGAAGCTGTTCCTACTCCTTGCACAGCACAGACCACATAAGTGAGAACCACAGGAACGCAACAAGTCCCTGCTGCGTCCAAAGGTGTTTTGAGCTGACTTCTGGCACTGTGTGACAGAAAGGCTCCAAGACAGGAAACAGTTCTACATACACTGAAACCTTACTACTGTTCCTTTGAAACAATTATTTCTAAACACTAAAGGTAATATTTTTTGGTTTTAGTACGGAATATTCAGGAGAGCTAATTAGGTCTTGGGGGTGCCAAATATTCTATTTTCTCTAGCAAAGGTAAACCCGTGTGCAATTCCTATGTGGCTGCTGTACACCCAAAAGGGAACCAAACCCGAGAAAACCCAAACCACAAGTATATTAGAGAATGGAGACACAGACCACAAATATATTAGAGAATGAGGACACGGTCCACTCTGGAGCTGCAGCTCTCATTGCAAGCTGGTAGAGAGGGGTGATTCACAGTGACAGAAAATAAGCCAACCCAGCCTGTCTCGGCCTGGGGCCTGAGATGTCCTGATGTTAATCGGGGCTAAGCCTCGTCTGTACGGCTGCGCTTTTACTGATGGCTGTAGGGAGGAGAGGAATGCAGGCGAGGAGCTGGGTCGGCCCTGGGAGATCCCCGCTGGCACCGGGGGAGGCAAACCCACTCCTCCGCAGCGCCTGACGCCAGTCACGCACCGGCGGCGGAAGGCACCTGCCCTGAGCGCGGCCCCCGGGCACGCACTCCGGCCTCCTCCGCCAGCCGAGCCGCGCACCCCGCCAGAGCCCCCGGGCCGCCTCTGGGGCCGGCTCCCGCTCGCCTCGGCCCGCACGGCCCCCCCCGGGGCAGGCCCCCCTGCGCCCGCCCTCCTGCGGGCCCGCGGTCCGTCCGGGCTCGTCCCGACGGAGCCGGGCAGCGGCAGCGGGGAGGGGGCCGGGCTTCACCTCGGGCCGTCTCGGTCGGGTAGAGCTTCTGCGCCTTGTTCAGGAAGCGGAGGGCGCGGTCGCGGTTCCCGGCCTCCAGCGCCTCCCGCGCGATCCCGATGCACTTCTCGGCCTCGTCCCGGTTCCCCTCCATGGGCTTCTCCTTCCGCCGCCTCCGCCCGCCGCAGCGCAGAGAGAAGGGGCCCGAAGCCAGAGCGGAGGCGGGCGGGGCGGAGGCGCCGAGAGCGGCGCGGGGCGTCAGGCGGGGCCGCGCTCACTCCGCAGGGCTCATCCCGCCGCTGCCCCGGCGCTGCCGCAGCCCCAGCGCGGCGCTCGCACCGGCACCAGCCCGGCCGCCCCTTCCGGGCCCCGCCGCGCATGCGCCGCCCCGCCCGCCCCGGGCTCCGCCGCTGCCCGGCCTGGAGCGGCTGGAAGGGCCGGGAGCGCTGGGATCGGGCCGGCCGGGAGCGCAGCCGCCCTCACGGCCGGCCCAGCGGGGGAGCCGGCTGCGATGGAAAAGTACCGTGCGCGCTGCCGCAGCACTGCGGGCCCGCACGGTGCCACCGCTTCCCGTGCCCGACTCTGCCTGACGGTGCTCATTAGCGGCTCACTGTAATTAGTGACAACAGTCCCAGCCCGCAAAGTGCTGTGCCGCCAAGGAGGGTGCTGGTCCGGGGAAGCAGCGCAGCGCCAGAGGAGCGCAGCTAGCACAGGTCTCACCGGCGTCTCCGATCTAGGTCACCGCCTCCCAGCCACAGTGCTGCAGCAGAGATTACTGCCTCCAAGAGCTTAGGGAAACACGAGAGCCTGCTCTCAGCAGAACCAAGTCTATTTGCAGTATTTCACTGCTGACTGCAGCTCTGGAAGGCACGGAGCTTGCTACCCCCAACCGCACACAGTAACCATTCCCTCTGCCTTAACAAAAGGGGGTTTTCCCTTACCACAACAGGCAGGGCTTTGCTATAGGAAATGAACTAGCAGAGTGGGGGACAGCTGAAGGTGTGCCCAGACCCCCCTGTAATCCCCTGCTACTGAGGATTGTACTGCATGGCACAATTTAAAGGGTGCTGCTGTATAGTTCCTGCTTTCATGGATGTCTGTCCAAAGCTTTTGCAAGCTGAACCAGTGAAGAGAGGCCCTGACATGAAATTATGTGAAGCATGGAATTTCAACATCCCTTCAGCTTATCTTACTCTCCTCCATGACAGACCCTCTCCCTCTATGAAGGCTGACACTGAGTAAAACTGGCCTTAAATAACATCAGTCTTTTACGTGCCCTGCTAAAGACAGCTGAACAGCAGGTTCAGTTAGGAAGAGTGTGACTTTACAGGACAAAGCCCTGTGCCCTTTCCCTACATGCTATTTACTGACTACAGTATTCTTGGGCTGTATTTGAAGATGCCCCAAGCCCAGCAGGAAGGGCTGTCAGTTACATGCTCTTGGAGCAACTTCAAGAGCTGCACAGTGGAGACCAGACTTCCCAGTTAATGACAAAGAGACAAATCAGTCCTGACATAACATTTATTGAGTATTTCCACTCTAGTAGATGAAAAGTCTGTACAAAACCAAACATTTCCTTTACTTAAACCAATCTAAGAACAGTCGGCTCAATTACAACCCACTACAAACACAATAGCTTCTTTGAAGCCATGGTAACACTTAAATATGGTTAAGACTTCAACGCAGAAATTTGGTTTGTTAGAAAGCTCAAGGGAGCTTTAGCTTCTCAAAGTTAAAAAAAGGCAAAATTGTGTTTCACAGATACAGTCCACTGGAATCACCAACACTGGACAAATTAAGTACTTCGAGTCCTGAGATAACAAGGAATCCTGGTATCCTTTAGACAGTCTTCTGCTGTCCTTTCTTGCCAATGAGGGACTTGTGGATATGTGGTATTACACCTAAAAAAGAACAACAGTTAAGGCCATGATATTTTTCTTCAACAATTTTCCTAAACTTCATGCTTCAAATAAAATGACAACACTAACTAACTTCAAGTCTGTGACAGTCCATGCCACCCAAGCACCCATAAACAGGAAGCACTGACATACCACCACCAGCAATTGTTGCCTTGATCAGAGAATCCAGCTCTTCATCTCCTCTAATGGCAAGCTGCAGGTGACGGGGAGTGATACGTTTCACCTTCAAGTCTTTGGATGCATTTCCCGCCAGCTCAAGGACCTGAAACAAGACCATTTTTCAACAGTTACACAATCAAGTGATACCAACAGCACACTGCTAGCTGTTCAATTCTCTGCTCCAAATACAGTGTCACTGCTAGTGACAACAAGACAGCAAACAATGTCTCTTTTTGAGGGGTTCCTCCTTTGGAGCTCTGCATTTAGTTTTCCCAATGACAGAGTAAGTGACAGCAGATATGACATGCTATAATGGCCCATTCTCAAAGTTATTTCAATACTGCATTTTTCCTACAAGGCACACTGCAGGATCTGCTTGAAATGCAGAGGAGTGATATTTCATGGTTTTTTGCTCTTTGAGACACTTTAAAAGTGTCTCAAAGCACATGAAGAGTTCACAACCCAGTTCAAACTGTCAAATACAGTGGGCATTGGTCGTTACACCTTTTGGGGACTGACCAACTTGCTGGCAGCCTTGCAGGCATTTTACCTCAGCTGTCAGGTACTCCAGGATTGCAGCACTATACACAGCAGCTGTGGCTCCTACACGCCCGTGGCTGGTTGTCCTGGACTTCAGGTGCCGATGGATGCGGCCAACAGGGAACTGCAAAATAACGGAAGCGTGAACAGGCTGTGACGACAGAAAGGCTCTGCACAAAACCACATTGTGGGCAGCAAAATCCCAGCGGCAGAAGCACGGGCTGCATTTCAGAACTTGAGAATCCAGTTAAGAGACTGCATGCCAAACTCGCATCAGCAACTTTCACGATTCCCAGCAACAGCCACAAGGGAGTTGCTTTCCTCCCTGCATAGATATGCAAAGGTCTAAAACCGGCCGGGTGTGCTAATATCTGGTTGACGATCCTTTACATCGTTCCAGACAACAGCCAGACAGCAGAGTGTGAAGGTTTCACACTGCACAAACCAACCAACAGACTGAAGGTCCGCCTGACTTTCACTCACGCACCCCTCAGCCCCTGCTCACCTGCAATCCAGCCCGTTGGGAACGGGACACTGCTTTGGTCTTGGTCTTCCCGGAGTCCTTCCCAGCTTTCCCACCAGCCTGGCAATGCCAAGAGAAGAGCAGACGCTGACGTCTCCCACCGCGCATGCGCCCAGCGCCTCCACCACCCCACCCCCCCGACCCCGCGCAGAGCCACCCGCGCGGCTGCGAGGCGCGTGCGCGCCACCCGCCGCACCGCGCGGCACAGGCCGCTATCCTGCGCGCATGCGCGGCCCCCGCTCCCCGTTCCCGGGGCGCCACAGCGCGTGCGACCACCCCCCCCCCAGCCGCCCCCGCCCTCCCCCCACCGAGCCCGCGCGCGTTTCCCCCCCCCCTCAGCAGCACGGAACCCGCCCGGCCCCGGCCGCCGCCGCCCCCCCCCGAGCGCCCTCGCGCTTCCTCACCATAGCGAACCGGAGCGCAGTGCCGCGCAGGGGAAGGCTGAAGCTGAGAGCGTCCCGCACGCACCGAGCCCGGGCGACAGCACCGACCTATCCCGACCCGCCGCGATTCAAACTGCGCCCACTCCCGCCTTCCCCTGGCCCTTTATATCCGCACCGCGCGGCCGCATCCGGGAACCCCGGCCTCGCCGCCAGCCAATGGCCGCGGGCGGGGCGGCCGCTCTGCCCCAGCGACAACCAATGGCGAGCTGGGGCGGGGCCGGGCGCGCGACGCGGGGGACGGGAGAGGCCCCGCCTCCCCGGACAGAGACAGCGCGGGGGGGGTGATGGCGGTGGGGGTGTCTCGGTTATGTTGCCCGCGGTGTGGGGCTCCCTTCGGCTCGGCGCCGGCGGCCTGTTCTGGGGCTGGCGCTCCGTGGGGTCACCGGCGAGAGAGACCCTGCCCACAGTCACTCCACTCATTTTCGCGTGGCTCTGTATCGGCGGGCCCCGCTCCGAGCCTCGCCTCTGTGCTCAGATGGCTCCAGAGCCGCCGCGCTGCCCGCGAAGCTTTCTTCCCACAATGGAGTTAATTGGCTTTGTGTGCAAAGCGCCTCAGGAGCAGCCTGGAGGAGATCATGCGCGGGTTTGGATAAGCAGCTATTACACTGCCTTAGCGAGGACACGAGGCTGCTCAGGGGCGTCAAATAAGGGGCGTCAAATAAAGCTCCCCCATCAACTTCTCAAAATTGCAGCCCTGGAGAAGTGCCAATGACTACACACGTGTTCTGATTTTTATTTTTTATCTCTAATACCTCAGGTCACCCTGCCTTAGACCCCTTTGTGTCACCGGCTATTTCACAAACTGCAGTTAAAAGCAGTTTATCATCCTTTCTGTTCCAAGTGTAACAATTAACGTAGTGCAAATTTCCTTACCTTGGGCACTTTGAATCCCTGGCTGTATTTCCCTAAAATGAAGCCATAACCTACTTAGTTTTTCGAGGTGCTGTTTTCAGTATGTTACCATTGAACCTCAGAGTTTGGCTGAGGGTGTTCTTGGTTAATTCTGTATTTTCAGCTTCAAAAAAGTAACAATTTGCTGTGCTCTTCCAGAACACTGTAAGTCTGTTTTATCTGAGAGATTTGCTGTTCATCAGTGAGCATGCAGTGAACTCAGGGAGAAACCTTGGCCTTTAGATGGCTGAATAGCTCTTTAGAGGGAAGACAAGCTACATCTGTCACGCACTTTAACCTGATCACAAACCCAGCACTTGGGTAGGTGTAGTTTCTGTTTCTTCTCCCTTGATATTGAAGAGTCCTGAGCACAATGAATACTCTTACAGCCAGATGTTAAGTGGCAGGTAGAGCTGACACCATAAAGTCCTCATGAGGATGCTCTCCACACCATAACTTTTCCCCTTTATTCAGGTCTACAACAACCGAAGTACTCAGAGCTCTAAGACAGGAGGATATGTCCCTAGAGCTTCACTTAAAGGTCTTTTGAGCTGTTCACACGTGGAGTAAAGATTTAAAACTTTGTGGCTCTTCTTCTCCAATGTCTGACTGCAAGTACTTGGTCCCCTGGCTATGAAGGACAGCCCAAGGCCACATCATCAATGCCTGCACCCCCCTGTTTCAGTTTGGGCTTCTAGTCCCAGCTGCTGTCGCCTCCGGGTGGGGAGACCTACTTCCAGCACAGGCACAGAGAGGCAGGACTGAATTGAGAGCAGCACTCCTACATGCAGGGATCTGGCAGTTTGTTTTTATGTAACTGTCTGGTGC